ACCCATAGAGATGATTCTTCTTTGCTACCCTTCCTGGAATGATGACCCACATCAAAATCATCTTTGTCTCCTGTTGGCTGTATATAGTGGTGAAACTCACTTTGGATTCAGATAGACCTGAAGTTGAATCCTGTTTTCTTCTCTTAATTTTCTTTTTAAGTATATATATAATGGTGAAACTCACTTTGGATTCAGACAGACCTGAAGTTGAATCCTGTTTTCTTCTCTTAATTTTCTTTTTAATTTTCAATTTCCTTGACTATTCAATGAGCTAAAAGTAATGCTATCTATCATGCCATTATTATAACAATCCAACAAAAATAAGGCGTGTAAAATTCTTGGCATATGCTTGTAAAAGCAACAGCAAATGTCCATCCAGTACTTACCATGTGTTTGAAGCACTTTGCCTGTATCTCATTAAATCCTCCTTTCAATGCTATGACATTTGTTGTTATTAGTATCCTTACTCTACAGATGGAGAACCTAAGGTAGAAGAACCAAGTAACTTTTGTGTAGGGTCATCTTAATGGAAAGGGACAATGAAAGGATGAAAATTCAGGCAGTTTCCCTTGGTTCCAGAATCTTAGCCACTATCCCCTGTTACCTCTCAATAGTGCGTGTTGAATATTTGCTATTACTATAGTAATCAATAAATATTTGTTGAAATAATTACTTAACAAGTCAGTTTTGCTGAAGTACTTACTATTTACTGCATCTCATTCAGTACCAAATTTTATCATAGACCACAACAATAGACTCTCTTGCTTATGATTTTTTGTTTAAGCAAGCTCACAGATTCTGACTACCAACAGTATTAGGAAAACAAGGTGTACTAGGGAAGGCAATTCAAAATAAGTTTCAATATACTATAATATCTATTGTGTGCAAGATTACAGTTTATAAAGATTTATTGTAACAACAGTATAGGTTGTTACAAATGATTAAGTTCATTTAATGTATATAGAACTATCCACTTTAAAACTTTTATTTAAGAGGAAAATAAAACTATATGAGGTAGCTCTGAATATAGTTAAGACTACTCCTAGTAATAATCTTAAACATCATAAATTAAAATATACAACACTTAGCTTCTATAGTTCAAGGTTTATAATTATATTCCCTGAAACAAGTAAAATAATTTTTTTCTTGTGTAATCTGATTCCTATAAATAAGAGAATGTACCTACTGCTATTTAAACTATTTCACAGTTTTGTAGAAAACATCATTCCTTTTTACAAAACAAGAATTTGTTATCCATGCAGTATTAATAAAGTTATAATTGCATTCATTTTTCTGTTGCTTCATTTCTTGCTTCATTTTCCATTCTTAATCTTGATTGTCTTTGATCTATTTCCACTTTACATTATTTTGCTATGTTTTACACATCCATGTACAATAAACTGCCCTAAATTTTTCCTGGAAAAAGATGAGAATAAAGGTCCTGTGAGTAAAGTATTATGTAAGGTATGCATGTCATATTCACTTTAATGGAATTTGCAAACAGGAAGGATTAATCTGAAATTCATTATGTCATGTCATTCATGGACTTCTGAGACTCCTCCTGAATAGAATGTCTAAATATAAAAAAAAAAGCTATTGTAGTAGGCTGAAAAATAGTCTCCAAAGATATCAAGTCCTAATCCCTGGAACCTGTAAATGCTATCTTATCTGCAAAAAGGGTCTTTGCAGATGTGATTAAGTTAAAGATCTTGAGATGGGGAGATTATCTTGGATTATCTCCATGAGCCCTAAAGGAAATCACAAGCATTCTTACAAGAGAGACAAAGGGAGATTTGACAGACAGAAGAGAATTCAATATCTCCATGGAGGCAGAGATTGGAGTGATGTCAAAGAAGGCCAGCAGGCACCAGAAGCTGGAAGAGACAAGGAACAGATTCTTTCTTAGAGTCTCCAGAGGGAGTGAAGGCCTGCTGTTATCTTGATTTTGGTCCAGGGATAGTGATTTTGAACTTCTAGCCTCCAGAACTGTGAAAAATAACTTTCTGTTGTTCTAAGTCACTAAATTGTAGCCATTTGTTACTATAGTCATAAGAAATGAATGTAACTACTAACCTGAATGTATACAAGTGTTAAATGGAGAGCAAATTTTCCTTTTAACATTGAAGACATTGGGAAAGACAAAAACAAAGTTATTTCTGACAATAATGAAATATTTATAGGTAGTTTTAAAAGATCAGAGACTTTTTATATTAAAGAACTGCCATGTTTTTTCAGAAAAATGGTCACCATCCTAACCACAGTCCTTCTCTGTATCAATTACACTAAAGCAAAGTTTGCTTGATCCAGTAGAAAGTCAGAGAATAGAGAATACTGTTCGGCTGTAGACTCCACATTCCACACTTTTCTCCTGCCCCTCCTCGTAATCCCACTTTTGTATTTTCCCTTCTGCCAACTTCCCAGAATGTTTTCTTTTTTAGCTGGAAATAATATTTACAAAGTCAAAGAAAATGGGTGTGGAATTTCACTTACAGAAACCCACTGCAGCATTTATTGAGCTGTGTACAAACCACGGCCATACATACCAAGGTGCTTTTCTGGAAAGCACACGGACTATCTACTCAACAGCTACACTGAACCATTCATCTTTGCTGCCTCCAGATCAAGAAAGATCAATCAATTCAAGAAAGTGAAGCCACCCCCACGCTAGGTAATTCTAAAATGATCTGTGCTGATGATAGAAACTTGTACTTAGCAAACTACAGGCCTCTTAAAATCTAAGAGGCAAAATCCTTTAGACAAGTGGAAAGATTTTTCCTCTAACATAAATTAGAAACATTTTGTGAGAAGTTTTATTCTTAGAGAACACGATATGTCTGTGGCTTACGTGACCAAAAAATCTTAAAATGAAGAATTTAAAATATTAGGGAAATGAGGACTTAAGGAAATATTCAGACCCCCTCGACACCACCCGCCTTCATATCCATTATCAGTTATTTTGACTTTTCTTCCTCAGTATTTCTTACATCTGTTCACTTTTCTCCTCCTGGCTGATCAGCACCCTAGTCTCAATCTCCCTAGAACTACTCCATTTGCTTTTTAACTAGTTCTCCCCATCCATTGCAGTTCCACGCTGTCATGGGGGGAAGGCAAGACCCGGCAGGGGAGAGGTAGGTGGGGAAATAAGTTTTATCTTTCCTCTGAAAGCGGCAGATTTTGTTACTCTCTATAGAATGGGAACAAAAACACTACCCACCCAGTGGAACTGTCTTCAAGAAGAAACCAATCAACACATGTAGAGCACAAAGAACAGAAACAGGGACACAGCAGTCTTTGTTATTTTGTTATCACCTAATAGACCTAAAGTTTTTCAGGCTCCTCTTATTGACTATATGGTTCTCTTTCATCTCATGGACACAGGTGCAATTTTACATTCACCAAATAGCTATGCTTGTGAATGGCCATGCTCTTCCTCTGCCTTAAGATTCATGCAGCAGAAATTAAGCCTGTGTCTGCTCCTCCTAGCACAGAGCTGGGCAAAGGAAAGCCCTGAAATATTGAATTAAATCGCTCCAGTAAAGCAAACTAGTAAAACAAACCAGTGTCAGCAGTGGTTCCAAACTATTCTTTGTATGCCTTTAGACTCCACAGAATATTTCCTACCTGTAGTTTTTTTTCCTGCTTTACTGAATAATAGAATCACCTGGGGAAGCATTCAAATATACCCATGCTCAGGCCCCAGAGACTGTAAATTGATTGCTCTGACCTGTTAATTTAAAACTCTCCAAATAATTCGAGTCTACTCCAGTGCTGTTCCCAACTGCTTCAGTTCAGGAGTGAAGACCTGCCTCCAAGGCCACCTCTGCTTTTGAAATTGAGCAATTAGCTCCCACCTTGGTAGAATTCTCCTTTCCTATTTAGAGAGTGGGGGTAAGGTGGGGTCAGCTTTTAAGGGCAAGATCTTGGCTGAGGAAGGAACCAGGATGGTTCCTGCTCTTCAGACAACTATAATCCGGGCACCTGTTGGGTGGCTCTAGACCCCAGCACCCTTCAAGCCCCTTCCATTCAGAACACTTCTGCCCCCAGAAGTGTTGGTGCACAGGGTTACGAGCCTTTTTTTTTTTTTTAAACGGGCCATCAACGATTCAAAAGCCATCACCAAATTCCCTACAGTGTAGAAAGAAGCTGGTGATGACTGAAAGGCCGAACGAACTGGCAATCCATCCCTCTGGTCACTGCTCCCCAAGTGGACTTCCAGGGTCAATGTCCTTCCCACAAGTTTCGCGCGCCCCATCAGCCCATCTCTGCTCCTTCCCACCCTCCGTTCACCCCCATTCCTGCACCAAGCCATCAAGATTCCCTAACCCTGATTTGAGTGTGACCCCAGGGTACGAGGCTGCCCCTTCGGGAAGGCGAGGGGTGGCCAGGCCACGGCCGGGGCCCGCGCGCCAGGGGAGGCAGAGGCAGCTCCCCCGCCGCGGAAACCCGCACGCACGCTTGCGGGAGGTCAGCAATGGGGTGGCCTCCCAAGGCCGTCCCCGCGCTCCAGCAGCTGGAATAGCCGGGAAACCCCCAGCTCCGCGAAGCCACCACCTGAGCGCGTGCCTCGCTCCGCACGGATCTTGGAGCTGCAGGACTGGCGCCCACGGCTCAGGGCAAGCGGACCAGGGCACGCGGATTCGCGCTCCCTCCCCACTTCCCCGAGGGAAGGGAGAACGAACCCCGCTTTAGGACCCGGCACAACAGGTCCTCTGGGCACCCGCGAGGTTGGGGAGCGGGGGAAGGGAGTAGACACTGGCTGGGGGAGAAGGTAGAGCCTTTCGTGGGCGAAGGGACTTCGGTACTTCACGGCTCCTTCACTGGCCCCCAGTCTCAGCAAATCCTTAGTTTGGGGGAGCAGCAATTACCCCGCAGCCGCGGGCAGGAGCTGAGTTGCGGACGTGTGCAGATGGCACGATCCGCTCGGTCGGAGAGCAAAGTTAGGCGGTGCAGGAAAAGCGTCTTTACGCTTTGCGCCTTGGGGGGGCTCGGCGACCACTCACCTTGTGCCTGCGCCTCCATGGTGGTGGACTTTTAACTGAGCGCGGCGGGAGCCCCGGCGCTTCGCAGAGAAACAGGCAGCGGTGCCCTAGCTCAGACCGCAGCTGGCCCCGCCGCTCACGCCCTCCCCGTGCGCGCGTGCCGGTAGCGCTGCGTGGAGGGGGTGGGCGACCGCGGGGACCGCCACCACTGGCCACTCCCGGTTACCTCCGCCCCTTCCAGTCCACCTGGCCCAGACCGCGTTGGGAAGGAGCCCACCGTCGGGCGCCACCTGCCGGCGACTGCGCGCGTCGGGCGGAGGGCGCCCACTCCTGCTTGGGGCGGGCGCTCCAGGCCGACTCCAGCCTGATTGAGCAGAAGTCGCCCCGGAGGTGAAATGTACCAGGACAAAGGCCTGGAGGGAGGAAGGAGGGTAAATATGAGCCACTGCTTCTAGTGCAAAAACAGGCTCCTGCGACAAGCTGGTCTCAACAGTTTCCCAACTGAGCAATAAAAAAAAAACCCCTCTGTTTCTGTTTTAAAATACTTTATTAAATATTTTTTGTTGACTCATTGACATTGTGCTCATGGCCAATCGCACCATAATTCATGCCTGAATGGAATTTGTTAAGCTTATTTGAGTTTGCATTTTCACCCTACAGATGTTCTGCTCTTAGGACACTAGGCCCCACTTCTGCTCTAGGGCTGGGGCCATGTTGAACAGCAAAATCATGCCCCAAACCACAAAAACAGTCCATTCGCAGTTTGTGAAAAGAGCATTTGTTTTCAGCTCAAGAACCCAAGAAGAGATAGAGAATGGCCTTGTTTGACCTCAACTGGTAAGGCACTTGTCCACCCAAAGTTTTAGGGGTGCCCTCTGCCTAAGTTTGGGACTAACTCTGACAGCACTGTTTGATTTGGGGGTTACAAATTAATTTAAATGAGAAGACAAATTCATAAATATGGAATCTGTAAACAATAAGTGTCAGTGGGAAGGTAATGTAGCAATCATGTTTCAAGAGGAAAGATTAGAAACCAAGTCCTCTGCCAAACCAGAACAGAAAGCATATCAGGAACTAAGAAAAAGCTCTTGTCTCACCTCCTTGGGTCTTTAGCTGTTACAGATGGATGGTTTCTCTTACCATGGACACAGTCTTCATCTGTAAAACAAAATGTAGTCTTTATTTGCAGTTTGGTCTTAAATGGTTTGCTACTCTTCCCAGTGTTTTCCCCTTTCTTTAAATAAGTGATAAAGTCTGTCACAGTGAACTGTGGGTCATATATCGAGTCCCTCAAATTACCTACCAAAGAACCTTACACAGATTCACAATCCAAAAAAGGATTTATTGAATAAATAATAAGCTAATCAGGTTGTATTTTATACATGCCCAAGTTACTCTCAAAGTATATAACAAAGAGTGAAATATATATATATATATATATATATATATATATATATATATATATATAAGTCTTATCTATTTTGCATGAAAGAAGGAACACTTTCCTGGCACATGTATCAATAGGTCAGTGTTTTTTATTATGTTAAGATGTCCCTGACCTATAATCGCCATTAAAATTACTTCATAGAACACCAAGTATGGAGCTTTTATATGACTTTTGATGATAATGACTACGCATGTGCCAAGTCATGAATCAGAATAGATAATTAAGTCACCTCTAGAGTCTGTTCAATTGTTCAGGTCCTGTCTTCTCTGGAAATTAAACACCAAGTTAGGACTGACTCCCAGCTGTTAAAAGGAGCTAAAAATAGCTAATGACTTTTCAACTTGAGTCATGTAAACTTCATCTAAACTGTGACTCATTTTTTTCTAATTTATAAAATTTGAAGCTATTGCCAATCTCTTAATGTCTCATCATTGTTTATAAAAATATTGATATTCATTCAGAAATAATTATTGGATATTTTCTCTGCACTAGACACTAAGGATACAGGTAAACTCTTTGATCCTTTTGACACAGGGAGTTCATGATCTGGTGAGAATGAGGGTTAAGCTTCATAAAACAGAGCAAAATGATAACTTCTCTGCCAGAGGTAAACCTAAGGGGTATGTGAGCAGTGAGGGAGGGCTCCTAATTCTGACAGTCGAAGCAATAAAGCAGGGGTTGTCTCAGGTGGGAATGAGCCTGGTAAGTGGTGATAGCCCCCAACTAATGGAATAAACATACAAGTCTATCTTTTCTCTGTTACTCACCAGGGTGAATTTCTTTAAAGTGTAGTAAAAGGGTCATGTACACCCTTTTGTTCTTCATTTCTGTATCTATTTCATATGGAAAGCAATGGGTAGGATTTCCATTAAGTCAAGGAAATTCCAGTTCACTCCTCCATAATGGATCTTTCTTCAGAGATGGGGATGCAGATATACAGAGGACCATCACAATAACTTAATTAAAAAACTTAGTGAACACATTTTATACATATTCAAAATTTTTATACATATTCACTGCATCTATTACTTATGCATGAATGTTCAAAGAGTTTTGAGGAAAAAGGTTCTTTATTTTTCATTACAAAGAGAATTTATTGTTTAATTGTACCCTGAAATTTCTATCTATATAAATGAATATTACAGTTTACTCCTTTATACTTTAAAACTTTGAAATATACAGTTTTAAATTGCAATCTTTAAAATACATTTTAAAAGTACTGGATTTCTAACATCGTAATGCAAGAATTTTTACCCTTGGCAACACTGACATTTTCGACTAGACAATTACTTGTCATGTTGTAGGGTATGTGGGCGTATCCCTAGCCTTAAATCACTAGATGCCAATAGCAACTCCTCAGTTGTGACAACCAAAGATGTCTCCACACATGGCTGAAGTTTCCTGTGGGGCAGCCACTCTTAGATGAGGATATCATTTTAACTCTTTGAAGGTCAATGACTAGAAAATATTACCCTGCGGAATACAGAGATGCCTACACTATAGAACTGACCTGGGGAGGGGATTTTTGCTCCTCATTTCCACATAAAGCTGCTCTTAAAGTTTTCCTACCTCCTTCTGTTGTCCTCAATCATACTTCATCTGCTGTCTGAGTTGATGCCATTGTCCAAAGAAGAAAGAGGGGCTTTACCTCATTCTCACAGAGAGAGGGGAGGAGCAAGGAAAGGTGGCCATTGCTCTGGACCTCCACATGGAGGAAGGAGAAGTTCTCTCTCCTTTTTGAGGCTGGACTGATCCATATCAGTTTTGCCCAGGAAAGGACTTGACCTTAGTGTGACCAGTGTTCTTAATGCCATCTTTTTCCCTTTTTAAAAAACAGGAATGATTGAAGTTTTATGCATCCCCATGAAGTGTTTTACTTGTGGTGAGAAAGAGTGAGCAGACTCTCCCCAAGGCTCCTAGAAGCATTTCTTCCCTGTGATCTTTTTTTTAGAGTATGAAGCAGGTTTAAATTGATGGTATAAATTTAGGATTTGAAATTCAGGATTTGAAACCTGATATAATATGCAAAGTGAAATCACCAACTTCTCCTGGGGATGTCTAAATAAGAAAAAAAAAAAAAAAACAAACCTGTGGACAAATTGTCTGTGGTTGTAAAAGACATTCCTTGCTCTGTTTGAGTTCCCCATCTGAGAATAGCAGCAGAAAAGACAAAAGATGACTTGTCACTTTTTCTTGCCTCTCCACCTGTTCATTTGTTTGTTTGTTTTTCCCTTATATCATTTGTCATTTTTGTGCAGTAACTGGTTTCTCCCCTCAACTGTAGACCCCATAGTTCTTCTGCTACCATATCATCTGTGAACCCACACCATAGATCCTCGTGTTTTTCCCTCCCCTGTTTTAAACCCCTCCCTCACCCTCTTTTGCTATATGCCTCAGACCTATGGTCAGCTTGCTAGTTTTGTCTTTTTCTTGACTTTTTATTCGGTTTCTCTGTATTCTGCATGTAAGTGAAACCATCCAATATTTATCTTTCTCTTTCTGGCTTATTTCAGTTAGCATAATCCCTTCACACTTGTCCTTTTTCTATTTGTTTTTTTAACCTTTACTTCTGAATCCTTCCTCGCATCTCTGTTCTTGGAATTTTGAAGCCACCAACTTCGTTCCATACCCAGAGCTTTGCACCAGGTCTGGAGCTTTCTGCTGTTTAATTCAAAGTCATCCAGTTCTGTCTTCTTCATTGCCTTTTCCTTTTCTGTATAATTTTCAATGATGCCCTCTTCCTATTCCCTTATCATCTTTGTGAGGTGTTGAAGGTATCTCATATTATTTTGCAGTTTGAAAAGCATTTAGTTCATTCTGTCTCATCTTTGGGTCCCTATCATGTTTCTCCAGAAACTCCAGCTTCTTTTCATGTTTCTTTGACTCCTACCTAAGGAGCATTTCAATCTCCATAGAAGATTGTTTTCTTCATTTTTCAACCTTCATCTCAATCTTATCCAACAAGATTTCCTCTGTTGCATTTTTTTCTGGATCCAGGAAGCCTGTTGCTGAGTATTTCTCCTCATGTAGTGAAGTGGTTTTGTCATCATCTCTTGCAACTGATCCTTGAGGTGAACAGTATATTCATCCAGCTCTGCACTTCACTTGGCCATCATTTTTTGACATAAGTAGCTGTTTTTTTGAAGGTATTTTATCTGTCTTCTTCCTTTTCCCTCCAGTTCTGCAATCTGTGGAGTCCGACATCAAGAGGCCATCAGAGCGTGTGTCTGGGCCGTTTCCAGGTCACTGATGACTCTGTGTGTGTGTGTGTTGCGTCCTCACATGACAGAACAGTTCAGCCTCTCTTCAAGAGAAGGTTAGCGAAGAGTACTGGGAAGACCTCACTTACATGGGCCTCCAGGTTAGGATGAGCCCATCAGATAATCTGAACTGCTAGAAGAAAAGAAGCCCAGTCCTGCCTCAGTTATTTTATGATTTTTTTTTTTTTTAGAGTCCAAATCTGTAGTTTGTAAATAAGCTATTTCCAGGCTGCTTGCATCTTTTTTATTTTTATTTTTTTGTATTTTTTTTCTGCCTAGTGTTTATTATGTTTCCTTTCAAAATGTTCAACTCTTTCAATATTGCTAAAGAAAGAAAAGTGCTGTCAACTAGGGCTAAGCCAGTACAGGAGATCGCAGGGGAGAAGAAAACAAGAGAACTCCAAGGGAGAGACACAAAAGAATAGAAAGAACAGGCAAAGGCCCCCACCAACCAGTGAATTCCCTCATTACTTGGGTTTTCTGATTATTCAGAGGATGTTTGATTTACTTATTCAAAGGTG